GTAGCTAAAATATACTATATATAGATGTTAATTTACTGAAATAAAGTGTGTGTAACAGTTACATTCTTCTTTGGCTATTAACCATTGGATGCAAAACGATTCTGAAAGGAATAACCTCACAGATGACTGACTGAGTGATATACACATTACACAAATGTACAGAGCACTGCGAGTTTGCACGTATTCTCTCGAGATATTTTCGCGAAATAGAACAAGCAAAAAGCATCAAAGGGAGAAAAAAAGGTGAAGATGCAACAACATTACTCTACAGTAAAACAAGTAGATATTGCTAAGTATTGATCAACCGGGTTTCTTTGATCGTGTAATTACATTTGTCTGCATTGGTATTTTCCTTTGTTCTATGACTCACGTCATGTGTATTTGGATTCTTCTTTCCTGACACACATATATGTACGGTAGTGTCTCTTTGATGTTCTTAGTTACATAGAACAATAGTTACTCTGACTATCGCATTTCTCCTTTTCTCCTGATCAGATCATGCGTTGAATATTCCCTGATGTCAGTGGAATACTTCTATATGTACTGAGACTTTTCATCGAATGAAACAGAGTGTGAAGCGACGCATATCTACTACCGAACAACCCATCCGCCAAGTGAGAGTTATTCACCTGTCAATATTCTCATAGGCTTCTGTATTAGACGAGAGTTCGAGCAATAAAATAGAGATTTATTGAATCACTCCTGTATACAGATAGATAGAGAATGTCTTAGCCATTCGAGTCGACACTTTTTATTCTATAGCAGATAGAGTGTGTACTATTCTGTTTGCGTAAATCGTAAATGAGCTCAGTGTTTTCCATCAAACTAAGCGACATTTCTAAATTATTATTTTTGAATACATTTCAAGATTTTTTAGAAATATTTCCGAGTGATCAAAAAATCTCCACTTCTTGTGATAACGGCTTTCTTACGTAGAAAATTGTTGGTTCTGTTAATAATCATTTAATGTTTGCTACAGAAGTCGAAGTTATAATAGAAGATGCAGTCTGTGAACAAAGATGGGATTTACCTAAGACGAAAGAGATGATTTTCAAGAATTTAACACCACACACTGCCGATATTAAGTTGGTTGAAAATTGTTATATAAAAATTCTTATTGATTGTGCACGTCTTGAATTTGAAAAACAACTGGTCAATGTAATTTGTCAGGAAAACAAGTTTGTGGAAAAGTTCACGCGTGGTGTAGATCAGATTTCTACACTTAATGATTTAATTGGTTTATATAAGGCTGATTTTTATATGACTCAACTTGAACTATATTCGAACTTGATCGACGAATATGAATTGACTAGTCTTATGGCAAATTTGAAGTCTTATGTATGGAAAAAAATTCTGGACAAATCCGAAGGTGGAAATTTGGAATTGAACATATTGCACAATCTTGTGGTTTGTTTCCAAACGAACACAGCATCGGCAATACATGAAAAGTTGGAAGAGTTTAAAAACAATTGCGCGTCACAATCGCGTACAGGCGGTTATTTAAGAAAGCTAATGGAAAATATTCGAATCGAAAGAAATTCAAACATACAACTTGAAAACTTTTTGAGATCGATTAGAATTTTCAAATCCGATCTTTTTTTGTTGGAAGAGCAAATGCGACAAGTTATTTGTTTCTATTTAAAACCAGTCGAAATAGCAGTCAGGAACATCGGAAACCGATCTGTAATTGAAATTATTGGTGGCGTAATTCGCTTGTCACAACAGCTGTCAGCTATCGAACAAAAGCTAATGAATAATGAGCATCAACGGCAAAACTCAATCGGTGAACTTCGCTTTATCGCATTGCACATGGTTGAAATTGATTGCGATTTGGAAAATTCTCGTTGGCATGGATTCAATATATTCATTATGACTACCAGTGTCAATGTTTCGAAGAAATGTCAATGGGATCTGTCCGGTCTAAGTTCTCAGAAACAACTTGAAAAGGCACGAAGCGGTAATTCAAATAGCAAAGACGGCGACGATGGTATCGATGGACATTCAGGCGAAAGTAGCGGAAATGTAATGATCGTAGCTGATCAAATGCACAATGCTGAACATCTAACAGTGATTGTGAACGGTGGTGGTGGTCTCAATGGACAAGACGGTGGTGATGGTGCTAATGGCAAGAATGGTGAAGGAATTTCTATGAATGACCTGAAGAAGAAATTTCCGAGTCCTGTACATTTCTGGGGAAGATGTCATAACTTATGGAAAGTATATAATCAAATTCGTTTAATGGGACAACCAATCCCATCTTGGACGAAAGGTGCGAATTGTTATGCTGAATTGAAATTAGAAAATGGCCAAGAAATCATTCATTCTGTAAGTAGATATTTAGCTGGAAACTGTTATTTATTGTACAAAGGAAGTAAAGGAGAGCCCGGTGGACGTGGTGGGTTGAATGGATTGGGTGGAGAGGGCGGATTTTCAGGTGAATGTGTGGCAATATCGAGACAGAATAAGCATTTTCCGGTCAACGTTAAAGTTATGAAAGGATCTAATGGAAAGGATGGCAAGACCGGACGAACTGGTGAATATGGCAAGAATGGGTGGGATGTTGGTTATACAGATTTTCAGAACTGGTCTTCACCTATGGAATTTGGTGTGAACCAAAATCAACGACTCACTATGAGCTATTCCACAGATAGTTCTGGTCGAGTATATTGCGGATACCGTTACGATGAACTTGGATCTTCAATGTGCTATGCGACGATTAACGCATCAACCCTGGAATGTCGAAAATTAACCGAGAGTGAAGAGTTTCGCGAAAAGTCCAAGGACCGACAACGACAACAGCAAGCAGTTGCGACACGAAAAAATGCTTTGCAGAGAACTGCTATGGAGAAAACTTATGGACAATATTTTGAACAAAGTGATCATCTAATCAATGGAATCTTTCAAACGCATGCGGAAGCTACTATGAACTTCCATCTGATGCAGCGAAAAGCGAAAGCAGCGTTTGAAGAAGTAGAAAAGCTTAAGGAACGTTCGCGTGAAAAAGTTAGTCGATATCAAATTTATGATGCTGAAAAGAAATCGAAAAAGACAATAAAGAAATCTACGACACAAAATAATACACCCAGAGAACAGAAAAAGGCGAACAGTCTTTCTAAAATTGTAAACACTTCAAATGAAGATGATGATGTCTGGAGTGAAATGTTCGAAGAAGAATTCACAGAAGATGAATTAGAAACAATAGCAACAACGTTTCATACCTATAGAACCAATCGAAAAGTTGTGACCCCGATGATTCGACGAATACATAAAAAAATTGCACTGGCAAAATTTCATAACCTCGTCAGAAATGATTATCTGCTTACAAATGAAAGCATTATTCATCATAATATCCTTAACACTGGAAAATATCTTAAAATTTGTGAAGAAACGAATTCTCACCTTCGATGGATCCAAGACTTCTTCGACGAATGCGATGGAAATGAAAAAATTCAAGCTGCTTTTGATGATCTTTGCCATTATCGAATATCAACTGATGCTTTTAACACGGTAGGGACGAAATTTGATACTTTAGCTTCGGTAAATATTGGTGATGTCAGCTTGGGTGAATTTCTGAAAAATTTGAAGATGGATGACGAAGAAAGGCTTACAGAAGCAGCCAAGAAGTTATCCGGACTGGAAGCAGGTAATCCCAGCGAATGGAACAAACTTTTCACGGTGCTGAATTTTTTTGCAATAAACGGTGAAGCGACTCAACAACTGAAAAGGCTTGTTACAATATACGATGTAAAAAAACTTAAAGATGATAATGATTTACTTATTTACTTATTCAATTTTTTCAATCAATTACATTCCTTACAAATCGCCAACAAAACATTGGCGAAGATAGTCGAACTATTCATCTTTGCACATGGAGAATCAACAAGTCTGTGTGCTCGAATTCGAAAATGCTTGAGATTACACCAAGATTTCATGGAGAAGAATAAAACATCAATGGAAAAAGTTCTTGAAGCAGTTAACTTCCTGTCACAAAGGCCTTTCAAAGCAAGTTGGCGAAAGTCTAATGAATATCCAAACTTTATCGAGACTGGAAATCGACAGCGAGAATTCAATATTGATGAAAAACTTTTGCGGAAACTACACGATCTCTACGTGTCCAAACAAAATACCACTCTTGATTGGCATCAACAAGTTGACGATGAAATCCTACGAATATGTTTAGACAATATGAAATCCTGCAATTCAAACTTTTACCCACCGTTGCTTGAGCTCATTGCTTGGAAGCATCAGTTTCATCTGAAAATCTATAGTGAAACTGATTCCAACCAGTTTGTTTGTATTCAAGAACATTTCAATATTGGTAAACAGATCGAACATCTTCTATGTCAAGAAGATCACACGATCGAAAGTTTAGTAATTGATCAAGAGTTTGTCGAACTAGATGTTGCACGTAAAAGCTTAGTTTTGCAATTCCAATATCAACGACAAGATCAAGCATATTTTCCATACGAAGAGGAACATTCGAGTGATGATATTCTAATTCACGAACTGTGCCAGTTTTTTGGAGAGCAGGATCGAGATGAGTTGGAAAATCATTTGAAAAAAATATCAGCTCAGTGCATCGGCGAAAATTCGGTGCTCACATCTTTACTTTACTGTTTTATGTGTAATGGGTGTCATCTGGAATCAAGTGAAGTCTTTCTTTTCGTTGATACTGTATTGGAATGTTGGCTAAATTTTGATCAAGATTCCGAGTTATTTACTTATCTCGTTCTCTCTTATAGTCAGTTCCAGTTGATTGATCAATTGATTTTGATCAAACTTGAAAATTTACTTCGAAGAAAGTTACAAAGTAAACCAGCATTGCAGGATCTTCTAAAGATTATTACGGACAGGTGTGTCAAGATTCTTCTAGCGAAAAGATTGGAAGAGTCAGAGCTGCTAATCGACGAAGAGAGTTTTTCCAATGTGCTCAACATGCTACAATACATTGGAAATGATTTAAGTTTCTTAAAGCAGTTAAGTTTATCCGATTGGTCATCGATCCTAAAAGATAGCTATTGGCAGCATATTTTAACCACAAGAGGATTACAGTTCGACGACACAAATCTGCAGCAATGCTCGTTTTACTTGATAAAACTTGAAAGTTTGTTCAGCACCACACTCGTGAATAGCCTCGTCGCTATTCTACAAGAAGCTAAACATTTTTCCGCAAAAACTCTTTTAACCTTTGTCCATCGTTTTTATGCGGAAGATGTGGAACTGAGCGAGGACATTATCACTGATTTTGGAATTCTCAATACGACATTATCTGACCTATACCCAGAAGGTTGTCACCAATATAGTGGTAAGGAATTATTAACGTTATGTCAACAAAATAAAAATATTATCAAGAAAGATCTCGGTGCTATTATGCATCTGATGACAAAATTAGGTCTATCGGAATCTAAAGACCGAAACATTGAAGATATTGTAGAGATGATGCGAACATCATCTCGACAAGATGACGTCATTGAGCATTTATCAAAAATCAGAGATTTATTGGCAAAGTTAGCAAATAACGAAAATCCTGTTTTAAGGGCTGCTGTGGACTACACTAATAATTATCATCTATCAAGAGATGCAAGTGATTATCATCTGACGAAAGTTACATACGATACGTGTAGTGATAATGAAGACAATCTGAAACGAATCGTTCATGCGATACGATCACAAATTAAAGATGTAAAGAAGGTTGAAAATTACGACTTCTATCTGCTCGATATTGTTAATCGGGCAATTATGTTAAAACGTGGATTCGGTCTTCGAGACACACAAAAAGTGGTAATAATGTTAGCATTATTGAACGAGAGAAATCTTTTGGCACAAGTAGCAACTGGTGAAGGAAAAACATTAATCATCACAACTATATGTATAATAAAATACTTATACGGAGAGAAGTTGGATATTGTCACTAGTTGTTCTGTATTAGCAAAACGTGATGCCGAGTCCGAACCACCGAAAGGCAATATCGATCTGTATACCTTATTTGGTGTAAACGTTGGACATATTTGTAGCGAGGATATTGGTCAACGCACACAAGTCTTTAACAATTGTGACGTGATCTATGGTGACTTGTCAAGTTTTCAACGAGATTATTTACTGGATCGCTTTTATGGGAAGAATATTTTAGGAACACGTGTTTTTAAAAACGTTATCGTTGATGAAGTTGATAGTATGCTTCTCGACAACGGCAATAATATGCTTTATCTATCGCATGATATTCCAAATATGGACAAACTGCAATCGTTGTACATTTTCCTTTGGCAAAGTGTTAACCGTCCAATCAAATCAATGGAAGACTTGCAAAATGTTTATGATAATTCAGCGATCAAAAGATCAGTTATTGCAGATCTTTATGGGATGGTAATGCATGATGACGTTAGCGATGATGTCTGGAAAGTATTGATTGAATCGAAAACAATCAGTCAAGATGGTCGTCTACTCGTCAATTTAAAAGATATCAGTAGATTTGTTAAACAATTGGAGTTTCCAAAGCAAAAAACTGAGAACCGACTGATTTTTCTACTAAATAATATCGTAACACGGAAAAGAAGCATCAAAATACCTGAAGATTTGTATAATTTTGTTGAGCGACATTTGGACAAATTTATTGATAACGCTAAACATGCACTATTCATGAGTGAAGGTGTGGATTACGTGATTGATGTGGATCGAACAGGTCTCGACCCAGATCTCAATCCGAAAATTATTATCATCGACAAGAATACTGGTACCGACCAGAGCAGCTCGCAATGGCATGAAGCATTACATCAATTTCTCCAGATAAAACATGGCTGTAAATTAGCATTGATGAGCTTAAAAGCTGTTTTCATATCAAATGTATCCTATTTTTTGAAACTTTATGGAAATCTCTATGGACTTTCCGGTACTCTAGGCTCGATACAAGAGAAAGAATTACTCAGTGAACTTTATAATGTTGACTTGATTAAAATTCCTACTTCAAAGCCGAAAAATTTCTTCGAAGAACGGCCGATAATCTGCCCTTTTAAAGAACAATGGACAAATAGTATTTATGCTGAAACAAAGAAGAAAATTCTCAAGCGACGTTCTGTACTAATCATTGGCGAAAGTGTGAAAGATGTTGAATACATAACAAAACATCTAATAAAAAGTGCAAATGAAGATGGAGAAAATAATCCGAGCAATGAACTGTACTACAGTTTACAGAAACCTTATGTTTATAAACGAGAACATGAGGAATTTCTCTTCGGACAAGGAAACGAGTTCTTAAGTTGCGGAAAAGTAATTGTGGCAACAAACTTAGCCGGTCGTGGCACTGACATAAAACTAAAGCAAGGATTAGTTGAAGCTGGCGGATTACATGTGATCGTAACATTTTTACCAGACAATTGTCGTGTGGAAGAACAGGCATATGGACGAGCGGCAAGATGTGGTGAACAGGGTTCGGGACAGCTGATTATAATTGATAGTGACGAAGATGGTGGATCATACAGTTCAAAGATTTTCCAGCTAAAAAGTGCGCGAGATGCCAATGAACTGCAGCGATTGAAGACAGTGAAGAAATTTTATGACGAAAGAATCACAATTGAAGAAGATTGTTTCAAACAGTTTAAACAACGCTATGAAGAGCTTCGTAGGCAGTTGGAAACACATGATTATATGAAAGAAATCAAAAGGTTTCTGCTGGATAGTTTTCTGGACAAATGGGCATTTTGGCTAGATCAAAACTCACAACTTATTGAAAATCAAGCTACTGATCGCTCAAAGAAAGAATTACTTTTTGGTAAATTAAGGCGTTTTCTTCAACCAATTTCTCTGAACCTCGATAGCTGGTTAGACAGTCCTAGTCAGTACTTGAAACTAGGTAATCATTATGCAAAAAATAATCAATATGCAACTGCCAAAATATATTTTGATAAAATTTTCCAAAACCATTCTTATTATTTAGCAGAAGCTCTTTATTACTCATCTGCTATAAATATTAAACAAGCACGATGTGCATTATTAGATAAGAATGGGTTTCAATTTCAAAAACTTAAGTTAGATCTGATCAAAGCAAGAGAATTATTTCAAGAAAGAATAAATGATTGCATGAACGATCAAGCTGTTGTTGAATCATTCAAGAAGAAGGAAACAAATATTTTAATCCATATTGAGGCATTCAGCGAACAACAAAAGACTGTTTCACAAATCTATAATCTGTTTATCAACAGTATCAATGATATTTTGGGGCATCCCGTCTCGCATAGTGCACTTGTGACTTTTGAACTCCATGAAATTCTTGCTTACGATGCATTGATTGAGCTGCAAAAACAAGGTATTATAACACAACAGCAAACTGCTGACACATATTCGAATGATACTTTAAAAGATATAGCAGTGGAGTATCGTATTCTGCCGATCGAGCTAGAAAAACTGAAAAATTTACTACGTATATATCCTACCGTCACTAGTCAATCGGTAGCTGAAGTCGTTAATTTACCCAGCCTAGAAGAATTCTGGTCAATGCTGAAAGAACGCGATATTCTTATCAATGAGATAGAGTTTACTATGATAAACAAACAAAAGTTGTCACAGATTCAGCCCAAGGCAATTGAAACTTTCATTCGTAATAATGAACTAGACATAGGACTCACTAAACTAAAGGCTGGCGAACTCCTTCAATATCCAACGGGTATAAAAGAAGATACTATCATTTGTTCAACAAGGTTCTATCAAGAATTGCATATCTCAACAAAAAACTACTTGGAAAATCGAGGAATTTGTTCCATAAATAGAAAAGCAAATATTGACTCAAACGAAATCCAAAACGAACATCTATTTTCAAAATTTGATTCGATTGCATTATCAGATTTAGTGAATGAAAATATTTCGAGTGATGATGGAATTATGATTTTGGAAATACTTAGTCAAGAGAATGTAGGCGTTTTAGAAGAAAGGTCAAATGGAAATTATAAATTAAAAAGTCATATCGATTGTTCTTCTCTGCCATCGTGCTATCAAGATGTTGTTGCAGCTATTCTCAATTCCACATTTGCCTATCGGTTAGCATACATGCATTTACAAGAATATTTTAAAGAAATTAAATCGACATCGAAGTCTGAATCACCTTTAACATTTCACTTTCGATTAACCTCAAATCCGTATCAACAACTCATTTTCGATTTAATCGATAAATCTGTAATTGAAGACACTCAGGTTCAATATGGAAAATTGAAATTTGCAAACTTCAAAGAAATTTTTAAGAATATGGAAGCCACCTATGCGCAGCATTTTGAACATCTCAATAAGGAAGAAAATTATGAATACATTAACAAAACTCTCAATCAACTCTGCTGCGGAATTGAAAAACTTGAAACGCCAGACTGTTTCTACTCGCCTCTGGAAGATGCATTAAAAATGCAGCAGAACTCATCAATTGTTGAAGCTTCTTGGTTCTCACTCAATGGAATGGAGCATTTAATTACCCTACAGGAACAGAAATATTCCTGGAAATTTTGGAGGAATGTTCTCATCATTACGGGATTTGCGTTGGCACAAATTGTTGCTGGTGCAGTAATCGAAATCTATACTGTTGGAATCGGCACGTATGCAGCATCTTTCTTGATCAATGAAGGTATTGGATTTGTTTTATCAACTGACTCGTGTATCATTAGGTTCTGTCATCTTTTAGGGATCAGCGATCTATTTTTTGTGATGGGATCTTTATCCACTGGTCATATGTCTAGTTATTGGGAACACAAAAAATGGAGTATGGCTATGACAGCAGTAACCTGTGGTGTCGGTGCTTATCTGTCTCGTGGTACAAAAGTATCACGCATTGGATATAAAGTTGCGGGTCCAGTTCGCACAGAAGGTGGCAAAAAGATCGCTGAGATGACCGGCAAAAAACTTGCTGAACATATTGGCACAGGAACGATTGCTAAGGAAACATTGAAGCGCGTTGGTTGCAAACTGGTTGAAGGAGTAGCTTATGGTTTCGCTCAGAGCGGTGTTGATCATGTAAGTTTTTTCAAACGCAGACACGCATTTGTAGTTGTTAAGCGAACTCAATTCTCTCTTGTGACATCATTTCTGTGCAGCATAAGACGAAAGGTGAAACACAAACTGGAGCGAAGGGAAATGAGTTCAACGAATGTCTAAAACTCTTCTTATTTGTTTTTAGCTCGTTATTAACCATTTACATGGAATGTGCACTGCGATTCAGAAAACAGTGGTTGCAGATCTTGAAGAACTCTTCCAGAACCATAAACTTAACGAAACTGTACTACAAGCTTTCAACACAATGGGTGAAACTCAGGCTCGCTTACTCATAAATCAAGTGACGATAGAATGCTTTGAAAAGACGTCAATGTTTGCAACGCTTTGTGCGCATTTTTCACATCTGTCTAACTCGATTTCACGTGGTTTTGCTGAATGTACCCGAAAGATATCGAAAACAGGTGGTAAAACGCCGGGGTCACAAGTGTTATCAGTCTTGGCACAAATACAAAAGATATTAAAATATAATAATATTCTTCAGGAGTTATGTGAAATTAAAAAAGCAGCTGAAACTTTTCTCGAAAATGCCAATAAACTCATTCTAGATGCACGCGTCGAGCAGCAACCAACGTTGGTGAAAGATACATCAGTGAATTCACAGCAAAGGATCAAAGTTTTCCGCGACCAGACAATGGAACACTGGAAACAAACAGTAATCGAGAAGTCTAATCAAGGGATTGCTAATCAATTAATTGCACCAATGTTATCTCAAGGTGCCAATCAATTAATTGGCTTTCTTGGTAACTCAATCAAGAAAACCTATCGCTCGTACAAAGAAGATCAGTATCAACAAGAATTCGAATCAGCGAAAAAACAGTTCGATGAAAGGGTAAAAGATGACAAACTCGATGCTGAGAAACGTCAGGAAGAACTCAAAACTTATCATAAAGCAATAGTTAAATTGCTATCCAAGACAAGAGATGCGAAATTATTTGCATCTATTCTACGTGAAAATGTGCCCATGGATATGACGTGTGTTCAGGCGTGTAGTCACGTTGTCCATCAATGCATGTCTCAAATAAAAACTATTGATGGTGAGAAACAGTTTACTGGTATTCGCATCATTGTCGAAAACACCGATGGTTCGTCACATGAATATTCCAGTTCAGAAAATCCTTCACATACAATAACTCTGGCACTTGACAATAATCATTTCAATATAACGGCAACGAAAAATGTTGAGTCATCGAAAAATAATTGTCTTTATGAATCATTTATCGAGCAAATTCCAGCATTACAAACAGTTTTCTCGAATGGCACGGCTTTTCGAGAACATTTGTCAGATTACATTGAACACAATGAAGAACTCCGATATACTATTTCTCAAGGATGGCATAAATTCGCAATAGAAAAGGGAAGTTATGGTGGTGCAATCAAAGAAGACAACTACAAACAAGATGTTTTGTATGCTCGGCAGGTAGTAGACGTCGGAAATGCGTTAGAAACAATTTACAAAAACAACGAGCATTTATCAGAAGAGGTTCGCGAAGTAGTCAAAAAATGTTTAGATAAGATTGATAATCTTGCTACGTTCGGTGTGGCAAGTGGTGATGTAGCCGAAGAAATCAATAAAGTAGTAAACGAATTCAACATATGGTTGAATGGTCAACAACTGAACCAAAATGAACAACAGTTGAAAACAGAATTGAAAAGGACGATTTCCTTATTTGGTGAACGCGTTGTGCAGACAGTGCATACTAATTACAGAACAACCTTGGAGGATTTTCTTTCAAAGGCCCGGCAAGCAGACAGTTCACCAAAAGATCCTGTTGCGGTACATGTGGCTGATCGAGTGAAATTTGCACGGGATGATATTCAGTTGGAACTTTTAGTTACGGAAGGTACAAAATTACGCAATGATCCAGATATTATCGCAAGTGCTATTCACGCGCAAGTCAATCAGAATTTACCGGAAAATGATCGACGATTCAATACTGTAGCTGTCGGCTTTCACAAAGAAACAATATATGTGGCATTTAACCAATTGGGTGTCACGAAAGATGGGAAGAAAACTTATGTTGTAGACACAGAGGAATGCAAAAAAATATGCAAAATGCTTGCGGACAAGAAGTTCCTCACGGGACGTTACAAAGTTATTTTTTTAGAAGGAAAATCAAAACCAACAACTCAAGAACAATGTCGAGCGCCACACGCAGAAATGCAAATTATGAATTACTGGAAAAAAGTTGGAATATTGCAAGAAGATAATCCCATGACGAGAAATCGTAAACCAAGGAAAATAGGTGCGTCAAAACCACCGTGTCTGTGTTGCAGTGTTGCAATGAAGACTCGTAATGTGGATCATAAGATTTATGGAAAAGCGTGTACGTCGCCGAAAAATTGGACTCCTTCCTCAGCCATTGTTGTGGATGTCACAATAAAATTCAAAGTTCAAAGTGATCTTCATCAATAGCAAACAAACGCTATACACAACTAGCGAAGGTACTCGGTGTTACCCGGGAAGTCTTTTATTGGTCTTCAACATAAAGAAAAAATACTGGAAAAGCCTGTAGGACTAAAATACAGTTTTAATTGCAAGGCTATTCGATAGACAATGTTTTTAATTTTTGCATCTGGTGGCTCCAGATATAAATACTTTCTAGTCCCAACTCTTGAGCACGCCCCGTAAAATTGACCATGGGAAAAGCAAAGAGTTTCTAGATTGATATTCGGAACTTTTGTGAACTGCCCTTAAGCTTTATTGATCGAGATAGCGAAGGCAAGGGGTACTGTAAATTGCAAGCATTTGAATAAATTTTCACCTTTGCGCAGCCTGTGAGGATGGTTGCCTCAATAACATGAGGGATCAATTTTTCCACACATAGTCGTGTGCCATTGCATCACCGAGGCGCATCCAGATTCCTCAGGAACATAATGGGAGAGCCAACTTTGAGCACCAGTTTGTGTGATGTCATCCCAGGAGGCGCGAGCGAGTTCAAGCACTCATTTGGGTAGTGGACTGCTTGATCAACATCCACAACCGTATCGACTGACTTGTAGGATTTTTCACCTGTGGGTTGATGGCGTTCACGCTGTTATTCGTGGGGGCTAGAATGGCACGTTCGCAAAGCCACTTGTGATCGTTGAAATGGATTTGAATGTTTGGGAATGCATAGGTTTTCAGGATGTCGATTGAATCCACTACATGACAGAAGTTCTCCGGAAGTTTGATGAGTCCGGTGGTCGGATCAGCTGGAGAGGTCACAGGAAAGAGCTTGTATCAAATGTTAGTGGCTTTGAGTATAAAATTCAGCTGATTTCTTCTATAGAAATAGAGTGAACAGTTCTATAAATATAGGCTAGTTTCACCATAAAACAGCGA